AAAAAAAAAAAAAAAAACCTCAATCGAGAATCAGGAGAGAGCCAATTAGTGGCGAGGGATTAGATCCAGCAATGGGCATATTCATGAAGATTACCTTATCTTCTCCGGCTTTCACTCTTGTACCAGAACCAGATTCTGCAGTCAAATGACACCCACGATAAAAATGTAGCCAGATTCCGAGCAATGGGGTGATCTGCGGGCAAACAAACTACACAGCGGACTAATAAAAGTCCCCCGGCTACTGCTGAAAAACCGAGGTTAAAACTTTCAGTTTCTTTAAAAGCATTCCAACAGTTATCTTTAGTGTTGGCTCGGGTAAGCTCGACTTCGGCTTGTAAAGGCTCGAGTTCAGTTCGGCTCAATAAGACTCGTTAAGGCTCAAAAAAGTAATGTCTATATAATTTTCTACAGTTTGACTCGTTAAAACTCGGGTGCGACTCTTTTAATAGTGATAAACGAACCGAACTCGAGCTCCATTTCTAACTTGTTTATTTCAAGCTCGACTCGTTAAGAGCTCGAGCTCGAACTCGGCTCGGCACGTCTATCTGCCGGCCTAGTTATTTGTCAGTTCACTTGGGCCAAAAAGTAATTGAATACTTGACTATTGTTATGAAATGCATGGAATATAAAGAACACAATGTAAAAACCGGATATAATTGTAATAAGCTTTCTTTCTTTCCACTTCTTCCATGCGAATATTACACTTCCTTTGGCTCCTTTTATAGATGAATTTGAGGGCCTTCAATAATGTAATGACACAAACTTCAATATATCTTATTATAATAATTCAAATGATAAGATATTTATTAGTGGTAGATTCCACTTATCATAACACTCCCCCTTGGAATTACCACTATTAAATGTGCGTTTTATGCTGCCTCGTTAAAAACCTTATCTGGAAAAACCCTGTGGGAAAAAAACCGAGATAAGGAAAAAAGAGTACAGCCGCACATACTCCCCCCCGAGTTATCATCTGTGCAAATCCCGAAGATGTTTCATTCCAATCTTGTGTACGTGCTTTCGAAATATTGTCGTTGGAAGTGCCTTCGTAAATAAATCTGCCGCATTATCGCTTGATCGAACGTATTGAACTTTGATTTGTTTGTTCCTTTCAAGCTCTTGCGCATATGAGAAGAACTTTGGCGGGATATGTTTAGTTCTGTCACTCTTAATATATCCTTCTTTGTTTTGAGCGACACATGCTGCATTGTCTTCGTATATCACCGTCGGGTCATTATTGTTCGATAGTCCACTGGCTTGTTGAATACGTTGAGTCATGTTTCTGAGCCAGATACTTTCCCTAGTTGCTTCATGAAGTGCAATGATCTCAGCATGGTTTGAAGACGTCGCAAGTAATATTTGTTTATGGGAACGCCAAGAAAATGCAGTTCCGCCAATCATGAAAACATAGCCAGTTTGAGATCTTGCTTTATGGGGGTCTGATAGATATCCTGCATCTGCAAAAATGATTATTTCATGTTTTTTATCATTAGAGTAAAACAATCTCAAATCGATTGTCCCTTGGAGATAACTTAATATATGCTTGATTCCATTCCAATGTCTCATCGTAGGTGTCGAGGTATATCTCGCTAACAAATTGGTAGCAAAAGATATATCTGGTCTGGTGCAATTTGCAAGATACATAAGAGCCCCTATTGCACTCATATATGGTATTTCAGGACCAAGTATTTCTTCATCTTCATCACAAGGTCGAAATGGATCCTTTTCAACATCTAATGTTCGATTGACCATTGGGGCACTAAGTGGATTAGCCTTGTCCATATTGAATCATTACAGTACTCTTCTAGTGTAATTGGATTGATGGACAAATATCCCATTTTGGACTCGTTCTATTTGCAAGCCGAGACAATATTTGGTCTGTCCGAGATCTTTCATTTCAAATTCGCCTTTTAGTAAAGTGACGGCTTCTTGAATTTCATTTGTAGTCCCAATAATATTAAGATCATCAACATAGACAACAATTATTACAACTCCATTTTGTGATCTTTTTATAAAAACACACGTGCATATTTGATTATTTATGTATCCCCATTTAGTAATTGTTCACTCAAACAATTATACCACATACGCCTGGATTGTTTCAAGCCATACAATGATCTTTGCAGTTTAATCGCACATAACTCGTTAGGTTTGGATTTTAGTGCCTCGGGTATTCTAATTCCTTCTGGAATTTTCATATAAATGTCAGCGTCTATCGATCCATATAAGTAAGCAGTCACAACATCCATGAGACGCATCTCAAGATTTTCATGGATGGCTAAACTAACCAAGTATCTGAAAGTAATTGCATCCATAACAGGGGAATATGTTTCATCATAATCGATCCCAGGCCTCTGGGAGAATCACTGTGCTACAAGGCGAGCTTTATATCTTGTGATCTCATTTTTCTCATTTCTTTTTCTGACAAAAACCCATCTGTATCCAACAGGTTTTATGTCTTTGGGTATAATGGTAATAGGTCCAAAAACCTTTCGTTTATTAAGCGAATTTAACTCGGCTTGAATAGCACCTTTCCACTTGTCCCAATCATGTCTTTTCTGACATTCAGTCATAGATTTTGGTTCAGGATCCTCAACTTCTTTGTCAATTTCTTGTGATACCATATATGCGAATGCATCATCAATGATCTCATCACGCTTCCATAGTTTCCCATTATTTACGTAATTGATGGAGATTTCAATATTTTCATTTCGTTCCGTATTTTTTCCATCATCTTGATTCTTTTTCAAATTCGAATCTTGAATTTCTCTTTTCTTTCGAGGATTCTTATCTTTAGACCCCACTGGTCTTCCTCGTTTCAAGCGTGCCTTTAATTCATTTGGCACATCATCATTTGCCATTTATTTTGTAATCTCAATTCGAGCAGGGAAATTTGTAGCTGCAACATGTGATTTTGTCACCCTTTTGTGTCGGTAAATGCATCTGGCAATTGGTTTGCAATATTCTGCAGACGTATGATCTTTTGAACTTCTTGCTCTCTTTGTTTGGTGGGAGGATCAAGGTATGATAGTGATTATGTTATCCATTCAATATTTCTCTCAATTGACTTTTCATTCCCACCTAAAGGGGGGAATAATTCTTCATTAAAATGACAATCATCAAACCGAGCTGTAAAAACGTCACTTGTTTTTTGCTCAAGGTATTTGATTATTGATGGAGATTCATATCCAACATATATTCCCAATATTCTTTGAGGCCCCATTTTTTTACGTTGGGCGGAGCAATTGGTACATACACTGCACAACCAAAAAATTTTATATGTGCAATATTTGGTTCTCAACCATATGCCAACTGTAATGGGGACTATGTATGGTATGTACTTGGTCTTATTCGAATTATATCATCTGCATGCAGAATAGCATGTCCCCATACTGAAGTGGGGAGTTTTGTCTTCATTATCAATGGTCTGGCTATAAGCTGCAGTCGTTTAATCAATGATTCCGCTAGACCATTTTGAGTGTGAACATGTGCAACATGATGTTCAACATCAATTCCCACTGCCATACAATAATCATTAAATGCTTGAGATGTAAACTCTCCAGCATTGTCAAGTCTGACTCTTTTGATAATATAATCTGGGAATTGAGCCCTTAATTTGATAAGTTGGGCAAGTAATCTAGCAAATGCCAAATTTCTAGTGGATAACAAACTCACGTGAGACCATCCACTAGAGGCATAAATTAACACCATAAAATATTTGAATGGACCACAAGGTGGATGAATAGGTCCACATATATCACCATGAATCCTTTCCAAAAATAATGGTGATTCATGTCCGACTTTAGTATGTGATGGTCTTATTATCAATTTCCCTTGAGAACATGAGGCACATGTCAATTCATGTTTTTGCAGTATCCTCTGATTTTTTAATGGATGCCCACTAGAATTTTCAATAATTCTTCGCATCATTATCGAGCCAGGATGACCAAGTCGATCATGCCAAATTTTAAACATTTCAACTGACTGTGAATTTGTTGCAGCATAAGTCTCGATAATATGAATGCGGGTGTAATATAAGCCCGAGGATAAAGCTGTCAATTTCTCCAAAACACATTTATTTCCCGCAATATTTGAGGTAATGCAAAGATATTCAACTCCCCCTTTATTCATTGTTTCAACGTGGTATCCGTTCATTCGTATATCTTTAAAACTCAACAAGTTTCTTGTTGATTTTGGAGAAAATAATGCATCATTCAATATAAATTTTGTACCTCCCGTCATAAAAAATATGGTTTTTACAGAACCCTCAATTATCTTTGCATTTTCGGATATTGTGTTTACTTTTGCTTTATTTAATTTCAAGTTGACGAAATATTTTTTGTCCTTGAGTATAGTATGAGTAGTTGCACAATATGCAAGACATATATCTCCATTTTGGATTCGAGATCGATCCATGATCTTTCTGACCGGGTAGAGCGCTCGTGCTGATAACGTGTTATGAAATGCAGGGAATATAAAGAACACAATGTAAAAACCAGATATAATTGTAATAAGCTTTCTTTCTTTCCACTTCTTCCGTGCAAAAATTACACTTCCTTTGTGTAACACCCCACCTTATCGTAAAATCAGAGTGCGAAAATTTCGCAAAGTTATTTAAAAATAAAATCTTTTACTTTGCGAAAACTGA